CCAAATCAATGAAAACATCTGTGACATTACCAAATAATTGGAACCCAGGATATGGACGCTAAGACATCTCAATATATCATCGGTTCCATTACAGAGACCAAAACAAGAACTTACTCTCGCTTTCAAAGCTGGATCTTGTGGATGAGCCTGAAGTCTCAAGAGGTGGAGACAGAGAACGCCCGCTGCGACCTACTGGCAAAGTATTGTAGGCATTTCCAGAAGAAACCAAGTTTTTGTTGAATATAGGTCCCGCATCGGGGAATTGAGAAAATAGAATATAATATATTAGTGTATTGTTCCACTCCTAATAACACCGAGACATTTTGTGATGAAATTCACCACCTAACAATAGGTGATTAAGTTGAGACAATATCAATGTGGTTAGGAGTGGGCCAGTGGCCCGTCTCTTTGAACATCGGACAGTTTTATGCCCACTGCAATTCTGACTGTTATCACATTGTGACTGCAACCCTCAAAACTCAAAACAAAACAAGTCATTAAATCTCAAGTGTTTTTTTGCATATTCAGAGAAGGTACAAATCGACGACTATATACTGTCATGCATAGTTATACAGAGAAGCTAAGCCTAACTGTCTTCAATTGCAAAATGACCCTTTTTCCGTCTTTTAGTAAATCCATGAGGAGAAGGTGCTATAATCTTGTGCCTTCGCGAGCTGTAGATAACCAACATCACTGCGATATCAGCAACGCGGAATATATCTCCCCAGCCCTCCGCATCTGTACAGGTGGAAGTTGATTTCTGCACCACACGCTTCATATATTGAAAATATCGCTCCACCACTAGTAAAAGTAGATGATGCAGACCACCTCCAACTTTGAACAACACTTTTAACAAGTTTCTTACAGATGAAGGGACAAGAACACGCAAATGTGTGACATACAGCCCACTGCGCAGAGGAGCAAACGGTTGACAATGACGTCAACATGCAACTGCAACTGGAACATCTTCTTCAGTTTGTAAGTTGTCAGAGTCAACGGGCAATGGACTCTTCTAGAACTTGTTTCTTAGCTGACCACAAGCTGCATCTGCATCCAAGCCCCTTGTTTGACGTGTGCTGACGGTTACTTTATTGTTCTCCAGAGCAGCCGCAAATGCTTGTACCTGCCAAATGAAATTTTGTCAGAAACCACAACAAATCAGGTGAGTAAAACAAGAATTAAACTAACAAAAAAAGCGAGAATTGGATCAAGTATAGAGGTGTTTATGCTTGAAAACAAAGTTACATACCGCTTTCTTGGATGGACGTTTATACTCAGAGCCTTCTATTGGATTAAATGGTATCAAGTTCACATGAGAACCTCGTCCCCACTCATGGAGTAGTCTGCAAGTTCTACTGCATGGTCTACCGCATCATTAGCTCCAGCTTCTCAAAACAAAAATCATTGTCAGGTTGTTAAAGTAAGCATACAGGGATCAAAAAAGACGAACATAATTTTTCTAAATCTTATTTCAGTACCTAAGAGTGCATACTCAAAGGAAACCCGTCTACCGGTTTCAGTGAAATAGTCCCTGCAATCCCTCATCAGTGCACTCAGAGGGTATGCCTTTGCACTAGGCACAATTGTTTCCCTCAGCTTCTGGTTAGGAGCATGCAGGCTGATACACAACAATATGAGAAACACTTAGCAAGGATTTAACTTCAGAACGCTTCCTTTTTTCTTTTTTTTTTGTTCTTTTTCTGAACAAGCAGTTCAACAAAATGCTCCAGTAAATACAAATAACTCATTCCCATTTAAAAATAATATACCTGACAGCCAATGTCGACTGAAGTTTGTAAGATGCTAGCCTTTTAATTGTATTTGGAACCCCAACGGTAGAAATTGTGATCATTCTTTGCCCAATTTGAATATCCTGTAGGAAATAAAGTCCAACATAAATAAGTTTCACTCATATCATAATGTTAACAATTTTATAAAATAGCATTCCGCTTTAATACTAGTAGGTTTCAGGTCACAAAGTCAAAGTTCTTGATTCTATATATTAAACATGGAACCAAAGCAGCTATTAAAAAGCACAAGATATAGTTGCAAAGGCACCTTGTTTAGACACTGATGCGCTTCAAGTACCGCCTTCAGGTTCATCATCGGTTCACCCATTCCCATGAACACCACATTAGTCACCCTATGGCTGAAGATTTCCTCTATAGCCAAAACCTGGAAATATGATGGTATCCAGAATCACAATAAATATTGAGTTTGCTTATGTATTAGCATACAACAATTGTAAACCTTACATGAAATTTTCAATCATGCCTGTGCACAAATTAGATAAACAAGTGAGCATGCAAAGAGCCCTGGAAGATAAGAGCATGGAAAAGACAGTTAATACCTGCTCAACAATTTCATGCCTCTTGAGGTTTCTTCAAAATCCTCCTTTTCCCGTGGCACAAAAAGAGCAACGAAGAGGGCATCCCACCTGTCTCACGCAAAATAATAAGAAATACCATACGAACTGCATTGTGGTGAACCATGCAAAAAACCAACGCTGAAACATAACTGCAGGGAAATTTTATTTCAATGGCTGAATCTCATCTCAGAAAATCACCTGTGATGAAACACACGCTGTAAGGTGCATCACACCTTTCTCGTCTTTAACTGGTATGCCAACAGTTTCAATCAATCTGTTATCCTCCAACTTTATCAATAACTGCAAGAATCAATGGCACAACTTTTAACCGCTAATACGCTAATCCAAAAAATTACTTACTGGCAATCAAACAGCCCCATTTCACAAACAATCATGATCCACGGAAACCATTCAACTTCACATTGAGTTATAACAAGGATATCCCACAAAATTATCCAGTGGCAGCAACCATCTTCCAAGACATTACCTTGACAGTGCCATCAGCAGCAGTGACGCTCTGGTAAATGGGTGACCTACCAACTTTCCATCCAGCTTCCTCAAGCTCATTTCTGAATGCCAGAGGCACTGCAGCACAAAGCCCCACAATAATTTAGCATTGCCCCCCCAAAACACAAAAAACCCAGAAAAGAAAAAGAAAAGAAAAACCAATTTTTTCTAGAGAGAGATGGAAAGAGAAATTTACCCTGATTGAAATCCTGAATATCTTTAATCTTTCTTTTGTAAATAAGATGATGGAGCTGCTTCCCTCTGTAGGCTTGCTATAAATACATTTTCAGAAACAGAAATTTAAGTAAATAAATTCAGTAACTTTCATTTCTGCGCAAACAAATTGAGAGCATTTTGTGCTTGTTTACCTGACTGAAGTCGATTGCGAGCTGTTGGAGCTCCGGTTCCGACAAGCCGACGAGGACTTGGGGGTCGGTGCTTTTGGGGGCGGTGGTGGTGGTGGTGGTGGACAGGTTCATGCTCGCCGCTGCCATGGCGCGAGTGCGGGCAGCGCGTGCGAGAGGAACGGCGCAGACGCGCTGAATTAGCGACGTTGATGCGGCTGTCATCATTGTGCTGTGCTGTGCTGGGTTTTTGGTTTGGCGCGCGATGAAGAAGATGAAGCAGAGGAAGTGTGGCTAAAACCTCAGCTTTGTGGTTAACTGATATTGGACTTGATATGGGCTTTAGGCCCAAGTTGGACCAAGCCCATAATTGGGTCGAGAGCCTGAATCAGTCCATAAACATGGTAAAGGGTGGCAACGGGTCGCGTTCGAGTTTATTTATTTATGTTTCATGTCAGTTGATTAATACGTAAAAGGATGTAATAACTAATAATACAATAAGCGATATAATATTTCTTGGAACAACATTAGTCATGTTTTAATTATGTTATTGTATACACTATACACCTCGAGTTTTGTATATAAGAAGGATGATGATAATGATTGTTGAGATAGCGGACAATCACAAGTGATTAGTCCAACCTTGATATTGTTTCTAATTTAACCATCTCGATGATATTTTTTCAAATCCACTGCTACTTGTATTCACATAATTATCTCCAACCTAAGAAAGAAGTAGAGAAAATGGGAGTTTGCAGCACCTGGTTCTTTATAAAACTTGGCTTGGAACTTGAAGGTTTAATCGCGTAGCTTCACTTTTTATATTATTTTATTTTGCCAATCAATATTGGAGAGAGGAAATTGAATTCGAGACTTGCGGTGCATTAGTAGAAGGACAAGGATTGTCTGCCCTCCCATGTTCTCCTGTTTTGTATAGTCACAGTTAAGCTACGTCAACGTTTTATGTTGTTTTTTTATAGAGATAATAAAACAAAAATAAATAGTAATATAAAATGTTGACGTGGCTTAACCGTGACCACACAAACAGGAGGGCACGGGAGGGCATCGGAAGTGGGAGGGCAGACAATCCTTGTCCTTAGTAGAAACTCTTAGCCAACAAAGCTACTAGTCCTTCGCAATTCCGGAGCTTCAATTGGTTTCTCAAAGTGAAAGGGACAAATGGAGAGCATATTTTGCAGTGTAGATGTAAGGAATGGCAAATCCTATACCATATGGCAGCCTGGTTAGGTCCTGAAACGCTAGCTGTAGCTCTTATGGGTCAAAAGCAGTAGGCGCTTCCCACATCGACGAGACCAGCAAGAACGAGCTACAGTCGGGAATATAAAAAGGGGCATTCCTGTTCAATTTAAAGTTACGGAGCCATGCGTTGAGCACAAAGCGAACTATTCTTTCGCCTTTTACTAAAGAATACCGTGTGCTCGTCGCTTTAAGTGGCATACGCCTATTTTTGGAGGGGTGCACCTCTGTGGGTGCCCCTTACAATTCCAGTTCATAATTTATCAGACTTGCTGCAAAGCTATTCATGTATGTGACATGGAAAAAACTGTAAACTATTTGTTCCAATTTGTACCTTTTCTTAAAACTCAAGTTCTTCATCTGTTTATTTCCAATTTAGAAGCCGTTCGACGGATTAAATTCCAAAATTTTGTAGTTAATTAATATATCTCCCGGCATTTAATCGACAAGAGTCGATCGCCTGTTCCACATTGTAACGAGACACAAAAAGTGCATTTCATCAATCACCAAACACAAGTAACAAATCGACGTCTGAAAGTTACTGAATTTTCCTACCAAATCAGCGAACAAATTGCTCGAGTTTAAGAGCGAGGTTCTTCGTATACAAGCAAAATATGTAGCAATCAAAACACAAATTGCTAGTCATCATCCAAAGGCGACTGCTCTACAAGACATGTTTTTGACTATCTATGCACTGACATGTATGATGCATGTTAAATGGGTCCTGGGATCAATCATGTTACATTCCAAAAATTTGACAACGGGTTTTGCCGCCAGATGTATATAGTTAGAATGGAGACCGCTAAGCATATTGTAGTTCTAGTTCCCTTGATTCATACGCCGGAGGCAGCAAACTGTGTATGTTCGCAAAAGGATCTTCACTGCCTGATGGTGGCTCCCCAATAGGTTTATCCAGAACATAGTCAGGAATCGCTACAAGCGTTTCATCAAAAAACTCTTTCATGGTCTGCAAGGTTCAAGAGCCATATCAGAAACTTAAGCAACTCAGAAATAACATAATTCCCTGGATCAGAGTAATAAACCATCGGAAAATAATGAATGAATATTGGGGATTGATTGTAACTTTCAAGTCCTAAAAGTGAAACTTAAGAAGTATACAAGGACAATAACAGCAGCAGCAGGAGCAATAATACTACCGTGCAATGCAGGAAAGCAGCATCAGCCTTGCGTTTCCATTGACTATTCCCAGGTTCTGAATGGAAAAGACCAATCAAAGGCTGCAGCAGAACAAAAAGAGGGTGATGCAATTGCACCAAATTATTATGGTCGGAGAAAACTTCACTCAACGAGAGACTAGCTTAAGATAGTGTAACCCACTCAACAACAAAAAGCAGTGAAAGAGGGAAGAATAGAGACACCAGGATAATACGGTAATCACAAATTGATGATACTGCAAAAGTATTTAGGTTTATTTTCTCAATAGTTCCTTTGCATTGTTAAACAAATCCAAAATGATGTCCCAGTGTATTCGACCTAAAAGAAATGATAGCCCAGAGTAAGACCCACCCATAAGGTAACAACTAGAATTCAACAAGGCAGATTGAGCCAGATAAGCAACGCATGTCAAATTACATAATATATATTGCTGTTTTGGTAAAGTAATGTGACGTGACAAGACTGAAGGGACCCATGAAACCGAATGCTACATTGATATCAAAAGACAATCAGTTGAAAGCTTCCCAATTTTTTTTTAAAAGAAAATCATCTCGGAATCGGGAAAATATGGAAAATAATAATATAATATTGTCAGTTTGACATTTTCGTGTGTGCAAGAAGAGGTTGGCGGCATATTTTATTTGTTCTAGTATGACTTGTACAAGGGTATGTGTAAAACTTTCGAGATAGGAACACAAAATTATGAGGATGATGGTAGCACTAACCCTTGCTACATCTCGCACAGTTGGTTTGCGTCCATATTTTCCCACAGCAGTATCTCCATACACTTGAAACTTCTCCAGTATCTAAAGGTGGTGGAAAAGATAGTTATAAGCTGTAAAAGTTCAATGGAAACTGAGTAGATACACCTATTTACAGCCAAGTTTGCAGACCTGACGCCGTGTTACACCACTGCTTGGTGCTCCATAAACTACAGTATCAACATGTCCCAAAGTATGCCATGGTCTATTGAAAAATGTACAATGGTTGTCAGTAAACTTTGGAGTCACATATTAACATTGCAGTAGAGAGGACTATCAGAATTTTAAATCAGAATTCTAAATTAAATAAAATAAAAACCTAACCTAAAGTTTACACAAATCTTAACCCAAAATGTTGGGGATATTTTAATATGGTGGAATCATTAAAGCAAGTAGTTAGTCTTCATTCAAGTCTCGATCTTTCACTTACCAGTAAATTTCATACTTGGTACATGCAAGACGCATTTGGTTCAAGGGTAGAGGACAGACTTGCATATGATGTAATATGTTATGGGCTAAATAATATAGCGGAGGGAAAATGCTTCCCTTTCTTGGACAAGACTCGTAGACCAGAAAAGATCAACATAAGAGTTTTCATAGTCAGCTACCCTAATTTCATTCTTTCAAATCTTGCATCTTCTACTTAAGCCCTTGTTTTCATGCAAGAATTTCATTTGGTCCTTTGATAGGAAACAAAAACTCTACTGAAAGAATTCTAGTTTCACTCTAAGGGCTAGAATTACATGTGGACTAAGACACAAAAATGAAACAAAAGTATATACAGTATAATCATCAGAGAGGATAAGGGTCATAAAATGGACTGATAGAGACCTGAACTACGTATACCAAATTTGTAAGTTCTTGCAGCAATTTACCATAAGGAAAAAGAAAATCCAAATTATGATATTACATACTTATTAAATGCAGCACGTCCAACCATTACACCATGAGCTCCTGCCCTTCTTGCTGCATTGACCTATAATTAGTGGGGGAAAACGACATGAGATAAAGGTTGTTACACGTAGAGTTTCTGCATCAACTAAGAGGCAGCTAAAAAATGTCGACAGCTTTGTTGTATCACTATCACCATGTATTCCCAAATCATGTTAGAAACCAGGAATTCCAATTCATATGCATGCATAAAGTTGGAACATCAAGAAAATAACAGTTAAATTTTGCAAATATGCTGTATTGACTAATTACAATGAAGAAAGTTTCAAAAAATACAATCTTCTTAACAGTAAGGAAATGACAGCAGGGACACAATACCCAAGTTACAACTAACGTCCCAATTGACGATGCAAAATTTTATAGAAAATAATGAGAGTTGAACAAAAAAAGTAGCTGGAAACATGATATCCTCTGAAGACAATACAATTGTTCATAGGTTCACCTCCTCAACGGTGTTTATGCCCCCATTTATTGTAAATCTCAAGTCTGGAAAGTCACGCAAGAGGCCATAAAAGTACTCATATCTGCAATAAAGTAACATATGAACAATTATAAGAAGCAGTATGCTACTAGTGAAGGTGATATACAAATGTTTACACATATAATCCAAGCATTTTTTTAATAGCAGTTATGAGATAAGCATATCCGTAAAGTGACTAAGAAAATATAAGTTCATAAAACATGAAATAACAGATACATACTTAAGAGGCGGAATACTTCGATTTTCAGCTGGGCTAATTCCATTGAGTAGTTAATGCAACTCAAGAAACTAACATAAGCATAGCTACATATTCAGATACACAACGATGTGGAATTAGATAAACTCAGTTATAAGCATTAGACAAATCAATAATGCTCTCTGTTTATCACTCAACAAGCATATAAAACATAAATGTGGAAAGAGTGTACACAACAAACAAAAGGTGGTTCCTGTTAACTTTCAAAGAGCTGCATTTTTTCCAGCTGCTGTTGTAGGTGAATTTAGAACGCTCTTGCATTTACCCCATTGCTTCTATATCGTTACAACATTTCACTGCTAAATTTGTATTTAATATTCTTCCATCTGACGGATGAAACTTCGTAATATAAATTATGTCGTCTTTTTTCTTATTTGGCATACTGTAAATCATGTCTAAACCTATTCTTTTAATTTCCTTTTCCTTTAATCCAAAGATCATTTTGAACTTATGGTAAGAAAAATCTGCAAAATCACCAAACTGATCAAAATTTAGGCTTCCAACGATGTACAGATTTTGACTTTTTGTGGCACTGAATGTCATTGTGTTTTCATGGTATAAATATAATGACATGATCATAAAGCAATAAACAAGGGCTATGAAAGGTATAGCCAAACATCTAAGGCAAAATTCAAGCATAACTATTTATATTATGCAAGAAACTATGTGTCCTCAGTTCATCATTCGCTGGCTCTTTCTTTTTTTATATATTGATATTGACTAGTTTGCTAACTATATAAACACAAGAATCAGGAAAAGGAAACTTACAGAGCTCGTTATATGAATCATGATTATCAACACCAATTCGACATTTCACGCTAACAGGTGCATCCGTGTGCGCAGCAATCACTGACATAGCCTCAGCAACAAACTTTCCTTGTAAAGACCAAATGTCTTTATCAGAGAACAGTGTAAAGAAAAAAAAACTATATATATATATATATATGTGTGTGTGTGTGTGTGTGTGGAAAAGTTGCAAATAACAATATAATGAGAAGGGTATCAAACCTTTGGATCAAGCATAAGACTAGCACCAAAGCACCCGTGCCCAGCTACTCTTGGACTTGGACATCCACAACTGGTAAACGGTTGAGGGTCAGATTAGGGGTTGGGGAGAACTTGAAAGATAAATTCTAACGGACAAAAGCTTAATAAAGAGTACCAACTTAAAATTGATCTCATCATATTTGTAAGGGTTAGCAAGCTCAGTCGCTTTGGCGAGGTTTTCCAAATTATTCCCACCAATTTGAAGAACAATAGGATGTTGTTCCGGGGAATATTCCAAGAATCTATCCTGATAAAAAGTCCCACTATCAGTTTTCTTAATCCAAACTTATCAAATGTACAAGAAAAATCCAGAAATAAATGAAACTGTGAATACCAGTTCAAAATTTATCAAAAAAATAAAAATAACATAAAAAATAAAAGAACTTTAATCTAGGGGTTGGCCTTGAACCCGTGGGTCGGGGCGGGTATAAGGTGAAGAAATTGACGGGGTGGGTCCAAAAATCAGAAGAAACAGGGCTCTGGCCTGAACTGTTCTACCGTTGGACAATTAGATTAATCACACCTCCACCGTTGGATCTTTTCTCATTCATTCTCAAACTAACTCTTCTCCCAGGTGTCTTGACAGCCATCGCCAATTCACCATCCCTTGACTCCGTCTCCCTCTCTCCGGCGACTTGAAACCACCATCACCATCATCTCTTCCCATACCTTCCAATCGCAACCACCCCCGTCACCACCATCGAGATGGTCTAACACCACGGCCAGCGCCTGTGAATCGAAATTGACCACCAACCATCACCAATTGAAATTGGCCACCGTCTGCTGGGATAAGCAGGGGACATGGAGCCAATGATTCCTGTGAAATCTCAGAGATGGCATCGTACACCAAATTACTTTTTGGCTGAGACTATTTCAAAGCTTTCGGATTCTGATGTGACACTGAACAATTCCAATGGGGTTCAATGAAGTTAGGCTTGGCTCAGTTAAAGACTTCTTATGAGCTCACGGTGTGGTAGAGTTAACAAGTATATGGTGAGAAAAAGCAATAAATGTTTTGGGAACACAGACATCTCAATTAGAGGTAGTGATGCATTCTAAACGCAGTAGCAAGATCATCTGTCTTTTATAAAGTCCATGAACACCCTTTTACTAGAGTAAAATTCAAAATATTTAACTGATTGAAACCGATAATCAGAAATCCCCACGGTATAAAGTTATCAACTTCAACTAAATGCTTTATTTAAAGAGAAATGTCAAGTAAACACATGGAAGATGTTTGTCAAACTATCCCTTGTATTGGATGCCTACATCAATTCAAGAGAACCCTAATGGTATCTTGAGAAAACCAACTTCCACCGAATTATATTCTTCGTTGGCAGTCTTTCAAAGCTTTCGGATTCGGAAGTGAAACTCAACAAATCTTTGTCATGTTGCACAAAACTAAGTCCAATTTGAGGCTACAAAATTGCAATACTTGCAGAAAGAGTATATATAAATATGGTTTACCAGATTATCCTTCTGGTAGACAATGGTCTCAGCAGCAAGCATCTCTGTGTAGAGCCACGCATTCTTCGAAATGAGCCTGGCCAGCGTCCTATAGTGATTGTCAGTCCACTCCATCATGGGAGCAATACTGTAAATTTGCAACAAAACCCAATTCCGCAAAAACCATAAAAATCATGGGGCAGCAATGCAACGTGCAAATCAGTTAAAAAGTAAAGCGATTAGGGAGAAGAAGATGAGAACCTAAACCAAGGAGGAGGGTAACGGGCGTGGTGCGGATGGGCGGCGAGAGAATAAACCATGACGGCGGCACCGGCAGGTGTGCTACTGCTGAGCACTTGATGGGTTTGACAGGAAGAGGAAGTTAAAAGTGGTGGTGGTGGATGCGGTGGCTGTTGAATAAGTCCCCTGAAATAGATTAAACGACAATTTGCCACGGTTTTTCGTGCGAAGAAAAACAGAATGAATAGGAGTAACAGATGAATACGAAGAAGTTGGAAACTTCAAATTTTTTTTTTCTTATGGGTCTGAATTTAAACTCACTGTTCAGAGAATCTCAGAGGCTCCTGCTGGTTGTGTGTGTTGGTTCCATGGACTCTCGGGAGGGAGGCTGATAGCTTGATAGGGCAATTCTTGGTCGACGGAGGCAGAAGACAGAGCCACTGGAAAACGAAAGGTTGCTATCTATTGGACTTGGACATGGTGAAAGTAGCCCTATTTAACTCTAGGCCCAACGAAAAAGCATTTAGCCGTTTGACTCTTTACATATAAAAATCGTTCGTTGTCAATACAAAATTAAAATATGCAAAAATATAAGAAAAGTTTATGACTATAAGTTAAAATGTGATTTTTCTGCAAGAAACAATGATTTATTTTACATATAAGGAGCCAAATATTTTTCGCTATGAACTTTGATCTTTAACACTCAATTCCTTGGTTTGATAAGGAAAAAAAAACCAACTCCTTGGTTCGGGCCAACAATCAATGTCACTCAATCGTTATCAAACTAACTGCAATCTTTTTCTGTCCGTGAAGTCCTGTCAAAATTTTAAAAAATAAACAGGAAAAAAAACAAAAAAAGGGAAAAACTTGGGTGTCCAAAAGCCCTAAACCTGGGGTATCCGGTGAGAGTATGATTTTCTCCCTTCCTATTACTATCATCTTCCAGCCCCTCCCTCCACACTTTCTTTTTATCTTATTCTCTATATTAAAAATTCAAAACAAGATATAGACGTAACGTAATCGCAACTGTTTAAATAGGAGGAGATGGAAGAAGAAAGAAATTAGGAGGGAAGAAAATCGTACTTTTATTTGGTGTCCCATAATTTGTGGGCCATCCAGACTCCCTACCCGGGGGCCCACATTCATCTTCAAATATATGTGGCGGAGAAGCAACCGCTATAACCGTCTTTCTTCTTCCTGCAAACTCTATCAGTTCAGTTCCTTACACTCACTACTTCCATGGCGAGCTTCAGCTTCAACACCACCAGAATCAGAACTCCCACCCTTCACTCTCAAAAACCCATCTCCAAATTCATCTCCCGCGCAAAACCCATCAAAATCCCATCTCCTCTCTCCACCACTCCCTCAAAACCCGGGCCAAAACTCCGCTGTTTCCGACCAAATTCCGTATCGGAAAGCTCTGTTTCCACGACGCAAGAGGCAGAGGAGGAGGAATTCGATGAAGTGGACGATGACCCGACGGCGGAGCTGAGCTACCTCGACCCAGAAACCGACCCGGAGAGCATTTCGGAGTGGGAGCTGGATTTCTGCTCCAGGCCGATTTTGGATATCAGGGGGAAGAAGGTGTGGGAGCTGGTAGTGTGTGACGAATCGCTGTCTCTGCAGTTTACAAAGTATTTTCCGAACAACGTTATCAACAGCATTACTTTGAAGGATGCTATTGTGTCCATTAGTGACGAATTAGGCATCCCTCTGCCGGATAAAATCCGCTACTTCAGGTAATCATAACCATTCATTTTCTTAATCTTCATTTAAATATCATCTCTGCTAGTAAACTGAAGACGGTTTAGTCATCTATATATGTCAAACAAATCAACAACTACGTAAATCACAACCACTGAGTTGCGCTCATGGGGTTGGTGCAACTAATGTCTTACTAGTTGTTAACAATGGCATAAATGTTGCCAAATTTTTAACGAAAATAGCACGTTTGGGGCATGTATGAGGTGCTTCACACTTGTGAAACTTCAATTTACCCTCGCATTGGTCACTCGTGCGTGAAATATTTCGAAAGAGACGATGAAATAAAGTCATTGTCCTCGAATTGTAACAGTTCGTAAACTAGACGGTTAAAATCGCAGAAGTTAGCAGTTTATTTTGCGCATAATGTGGGCTTCTGTGGATTGTGCATACTTGAGAAAGCATGTCAATTGGGATTTGGAAACGGTTCCACCTTTATGATATGTTCATTTGGACTATGTAGGTCACAGATGCAGACAATTATCACAAAAGCATGTAACGAGCTCGGTATAAAGCCGATTCCCAGCAAACGGGTAAGCATGTTTTTCTTATCAATTCTCTAATTTTTGGAACATATACGGATTGAGGAAGCATTTTTTCAACCACACAATTGATCAAGTAACTTATTTCCGCAGAGATGCAGAAGTTGCATGACTTTGAAACACCGCTTTTCTTTGAGTTTCTGGTACAAATGCTTCTCTCTGTCAGCTAATTGTCTTAAAACATTGCTTTTTGCAGTGCCTATCGCTGCTTTTGTGGTTGGAAGAACGCTATGAGACAGTATACACACGCCATCCTGGTTTCCAGAAAGGATCTAAGCCACTCCTTGCGTTGGATAACCCTTTCCCAATGGAACTTCCGGAAAATCTTGTTGGCGAGAAATGGGCCTTTGTTCAGTTGCCCTTTTCAGGTAAAGGACTTGCTAATGGCGACATTTCGACAGATATAACAAGTCACATTCCCTGACCTGCCTTATTCATCCAGTAACATTTCATGTGCCCTTGCTAATTCTACTTCCTGTTTCAGCTGTTCAAGAGGAAATCTCATCCTTAGATACGAACCTTGTGTTTGGTGCAAGTCTAGATTTGGATCTGTTGGGGATTGAAATTGACGAGAAGACATTGATTCCAGGATTGGCTGTTGCATCTTCGCGTGCAAAACCGCTAGCAGGTGTTTATTCTCTCGGACTGTCATCTTCTTCTTGTGCATATTTACTTGCATATATTCATACGCAGATAGCATTTTATGTCATTAGATTGCTAATATGAACTGTTGGGCGAGTGGACCGACAAGATAACAATATCTTCTTGTGATACATTTTCCCTAAGTCCGCTCTCAATCCTATTGAGTCTTGTACTATTTTGTGTCATTCCTCTTAACAATCAAGGATCCTTACAACATCTTGCTATATGGTGGTGTAGCTTGGATGAATGGGTTGGAAGTTTGCTCGATTGAAGTCGATCTGTCACGGGCTCGCTTGCTTCTTTCTGTCGGGATCTCTGGCCGATATATTTACGCCACCTACAATAAAACTCCTGAAACAAGTAGTGAAGCCGAAGCTTGGGAAGCAGCAAAGAAGGATTGTGGAGGCTTGCACTTCCTTGCAATCCAGGGGGACTTGGACGGTGATGATTGTGTCGGATTTTGGCTTCTGCTAGACTTGCCACCTCCACCTGTATAGTTTAATCTGTCGAAAGGTTTTCGAAAGAAATAACTCTCACGTTAGTTTCTCAGTTACATTACTTCATCTTCATACTTCAGAGTTGAGAAATGATTGCGAATACTGCTTCGGAAAGGAGTTTCTAGTTGAAAATTTGTACTGTTATCAAACTCGCTATCCGGCAAATTTGGTAGCAGGGTTCAAGGTCTCTCATGCAAAACTAGGGTTCGGGGTCCTTGAGTTATGGTACCGGGTCTGTGATCCTGTGTTCAGGATCACAGACCCAAAGTTATCCACTTAACATTTACAACTAGTATTGCCCCTCCTTCTAAGGAACTTTAGGATGCGAAATATTCCACAGAAAAGCAAGCACAACCCTCCTTCATTCATCTTCTTTATTCTAACCTCGTTTGAAGTAGTCTTGATTTCGCAGTTCACCCCTGCAGGTTTCCAGAACTTACCAAGTTCGTCAGGCGTGGGATTTACAGTTTCACGACTAATTGATGGTGCCACCAAAACTGACTCCCGCTCAGGCGTAGTCAGTTACGAGGCACCACGATCTGCACAAACAATGACTTGAGGATGGGATGCTTTCTAATTGCTGAACAAATTTCAGTCATCAAAGTAATGCCGGAAGCATTCATACTTTCAAAGATGGTAAACACATCTGGACCGGTACGAAAACAACTTTTCATTCCTATCCTCTCTGTTACCGAGAGTTCTAAAATATCATAGTTCGAGGCTGAGTATTCGAATACATTTCAAGAAGGTAGCTTAGCTGTCTATACAACGACAAAAAAAGAGAAAAAGAAAAGAAAACCTGCCTACCTCAGAATTTACCCCGGTTCACCAGAACTAATTCTTCACGACCGATGAAACTGAACAGCCCCCGCACATACAATCCTCTCTCAAGTCTGAAAGAATGTGAGCAAAGATACAAGCCAATGGATATGCTACAACATGTTATCTCTACCACCTTTTCAGAGGCAGACAACTTCCCCTTCATCTTAATCTGGAAGAAAGCCTCCGGATGAGATTAACACAAACATCAAGTTGTGTGTACTACGTACAGCCCTCATGTTCTTGGCCTCTTATGCTTTTGAGATACAAATCGAACCCCTTGCTTCCCGAGTTCTAGAGATTTGACTTTGCCATCATCTAAAGTTACAGATAATGTTGACATGCCTTTGATAACATCGCTAACCACTCCCTTATGCCTGTACGAAACAAGGGAAAAAGGAAAGAAATCAGCTCAAACGATAACATCAAAAGTCTCCCCTTAAAGTAACACTTGAAACTGACAACTTCATCTTCATGGGAAACAATCATTTAGCAGAAAACATGAACGACAATCGACTTAATGACTAAATTGCTGGCATTAAATAGTTTACAACTCAAGAAGTCCTTTTATATGTTAGTATGAACTGTAACATTTTGTTTTATCTTATTTAGGGTCCTATGAGACTTAGTAATGCACTATACAGAAACAACAAACTCACCATGAATTGTCAGATAGCTGCTGAACTTCAACTCGCTTTCCGATTGCATCTCTGCCCATTTTTTTCAATATCCAGTTAACATCCATCTCATCCATTACATTATCCTGAACTGATTGTGTCTTGTCATCATTCTCACCAAATGATGTCTTCTCCATAAACGGTGATGGTCTCTTTCTTTTTGACCGCTGGCCCTTGACGTAACTTTTTTCTTCCTCATGATGAGAAGAATTCTGATTTTCAATATTAGGCTTCTTGAGCTTAAACTTCAATGATGGAGGTTTGGCATCTTTTGACGAAGAATGTGACACGGGTGTCTGAGCGTAATCATTGGTTTCAGTACGTATATTAGACCTGCCATGTGAATGCTTCCGGGCATATACCCTGTCATTTCTTAAAGTCGGGACTTCACCTACAGGCACAGCTGCAGTCATGCCTCCTTCAATGCCTTTTCCAAACGAAACAGGTGTCTGCTCAGGTTGAATGGCTTCATATTCATCAGCCTTATCCCCTCTTGCAAATTTGGGGTTATGATCAGAAGCTCCGGACCTAACTTTTCCCAACTTTATAAGGTTTCCTTCTCTCCCAGAAACCTTTGGAACTTTCAAGGGGCTAGAATAATCACTTCTATCTGCACAATGTCATCACGAAGGTTTCAACTTTCAATGACACAACATAAGAAAACATCAAATTTTGACTGAAATACTAATCAATTGAAAAGAGATCGAACTTTTCCACCATACTAATGGGTTGCAACTTGCAATCCTTATACCTTTAGCATTAACCAAACCATCATGTCTATCCACCATAACAGGTGCTCTCTGCTGGCTGGCATCTTCACCGGCTGCCCATCAAGAGAAACACAAGTCATATATCTACATATACATACAATACACACAAAATATATTGGTTTCTTTCAAGAATTTTCCACTAGCCTATTTCTCTTTATTAATTAAAGTAACCTGGCCACATCCACCATAAGCAGCTACTTCTCTTATTGGTTTTCGGCCCTCAATATATATATATATATATATATATATATATTTTTTTTTTTTAATAAGAAACGATGGTTTTTTTCCTTTTGGCCCTCAAAATTGAAGTGACATTCTAAATAATATTGCAAGTGGAGAGAGAACAAGAAAGAAAAAAATCTGTATGTCTGACATACATTTTGTCAATGTCAACCTAAATGTCTCTGGGTTTTCAGTTGTCTATGTAGGAAACAAAGGTTTATGCCCCAAATTTCCATCATCTCAGCAACACATTGCCAAGACATTAACAAGGAAGACAGATCTACCGTCAACCCCTATATCATTATTTGTGGGTTTAAAAACCCAAATTGACAACCGACACGACCCTTCTGAACACTGAATGAGAGATTGTGAAGGGGGTAGCAATGGGCAGATTTGATAAATGCTGGTTGTAGGTGGCTGTGGGAACATTCATTGGTATTCCTCTCAAACTCAAGCCTTAGTTGGGCTAAAAGCAGTAATCTATTATTACCTAATGTTCAATGATGGTACCATATGTAAGCCTAACTCTTTTTCTAATGGCAATGCTAAAAGTAAGAATATAATAAGCCAAGTAACAGGTCATATAGAAGGCATACCATTGGAAGTCAACAAATCTTGCTCTCTTTGACAGGTTGAAGCATCAGATGTTGGAGACTTGGGCAAATTTATCTTCCGTGCACCAAAATTTATCACTAACTTCTTCCCTTTAACAGGCTTTGACTTGCCTGCATGCTTTCCAGTATCCTCTCCACTATCCAGACCATGAGACTTACCCTTGATACGAACGACTTTGGAAGCCCTATCTTCATCGCTCGCCATCACCTCATCAACAAACTTGTGCTTCAAAACACCTGGCTCATTGACAGAGCAAATCTCTTCGGTGTGGCCAATACTTCCAGCTATAGGCGAAGAATATAAATCTAGTTCTGTATTTTTGTAGGGCCGCATCTCATTATTCTTGTCATAGCCCAAGCTAGATCCAAAGGACTGAGGATCATCATGTCCTCCAGACCTCTGAATCACTTCAGTTTTGCCAACAAAGAACTCCTGGTATTCCTTTTTCTTAGCAGACACTTTATCTGAAGATTTTTTCCCACTGTCCTTGGTCTTTTTTTGTGACTTATCAACTAACCCTTTGAGAGATAATTTCAACGGACGCCCATACTCATTCTTTATTAATTGAGGGCCATTTTCTTCATCATCGGAATAGGGTGAAATAGAAAATATTTCTTCTTGAGTTGGCAACCCTGCAGCAGCCCTCAAGCTAAAAATTAAATCTTGCTCCGCTTCATCTTTTCTCCTCCAAAGCTCTACCACAGCATCCTCATTATTCTTGACCTGTAAAAGAAATCCAAAGTAAGAAGTAATGAAAGCTGAAAATTAAGAAAAACAAAAATTAAAGCAAAAAGGAGTGGAGCACAGAATACTATCTTATTGAGCAAACCTGGTAGCATTCTCCACGACATGTAGCACATTTGTACTCGAGATTTCCATCTAACTGATACAGCTGATATCTCTCATCACTGAAAAAATAAAGAATCCTTTTGGAAATAAGCAATCCCATAGAGATATTAAAAATAAAAAATAAAAAAAATAAAAAAAATAAACAATTCAGCAATTATAACGTCACAAGATACAGTCGGATCATTTAGAATACATCAATATAAGATAAGTAGGTTTACGAAGAATAAACTCACTATACATGAGAGTGGTTATTTGAATTGATTTAACTGCTAGCCAAACAGCCCGGACCATAAAGGCTAATGAAACACATTTGAGAGAGTCAAAAGACGAGGGGGGAAATAGAAGTGTTTCCTCCAAATGTGTTACATTAGTCTTTGCTACAACACTAGTTCTAGTAGGGAAACATTTTGCCACCAAACATTCGGGCCCAAAGTTCCATAGTACAAAATTACTCACTTTGGGACCAAGAAAAAGTAAAGGCAGGCCGCAGGATAATACAGCAAAACTAGTATGGGTCTATAAAAGTAATGAACCTGATTCCATCACAATGACAATGCACCCAACGCTGGCAAAGATCACAGCAAACCATTGGTGTTGATTCTGAATCTCTATAAACCTATAAAATAAGATCACAAATATGTCATGAGAAAAATCATGCAAGTTAATAAAACAAAAGTATCTCAGATAAATCAACCCTCATAGAAGCAAATTAAATACCTTCAAGCACACAGGACAATAGTTCCCCTTCACAAATAATCTTCCACATGCATCACAGCAAGTGTATCCAAGAAACCATCTGTCAATGTAACAAGAAAGAAGTGAGTCCACCAGTACATGCTACGTAAAAGTACAAACTAAAATGTAAATAAATAGTCAAACAAATAATAACTTTGGTACATTAAAAAAAAAAAAGAAAAAGAAAAAGAAAAAGGAAGTAAACTGAGCCTATCAGAGTTCTGCTTGATGGCATAGAATTTGAATGACTAGTTTAGACAAAAGCTATTTAAAGATGGAGGGAAAATATGAAATGCATAAATAAATACAAAATACAAACAGACTAAATTACACAGCAAAACTCATAGAAAAACGAAAACTTTAATTTAAATGGCTTTCATTGCAGAAGAAAAAGACACAAAATGCTACATAATTAGAAATAAGATGTCACAAACTACGTACAGAAGTATAAAAGGGTCTAAACTACGTACAAAAGTATAAAATAATTTAGAGAGATCCAAAATAGGGTGCTGGTAAGCCAAATTATCAGAAAGATAATATTAAATTCTAACATGGTGCCTAACAAACATTTTATATTACTACAATGTTTCAAAATTACAGAAGTAAAATAACAGTCATCTTATCACTTCCGTTGATAGAAGAAAATAAAACTCACAGTATACAATATTGATAATTAATACCTCACACTTAAGCCATTTCCGGGGACTTTTGACCCACAGCTGTGACACCGTGTATGTTTCGGGCACACATAAGGTCCAGGAGAAACATTCTGCGCCATGAATTACAAAAGTAAGCATATTTTGAATATTTAGTTGGCCAGTATACAACTCAGGACTAAGCAGTACACACCCTACCTTGTGTGAAGGATGTTGGCAGTAACAATGGTAGGCGCCATCACACCTTTTACAGAACATAAGCTTGTTTGGATCTCCAGTTCTTCGGCACACCTGAAGAAAGGAACAAAAAGATACAGTCACACCACTTAGTATGAAGATTCCATTAATAAGCACAGTTTATTACCATCATAAGGCCAAAACCCCTATAGACAATCTTAGTCCTTATGAAAGTTATTTGATGTCAATAACAAGTGTAGGTATCTAGTTGAAAATGGTAGTGGTATCCTACATTGTTATATTCAGTGGAAAGCAGAAAATTGTTACCTAGGCTAATTTTATTTGTCATTTTATCAGGAGTTAAATTGCCCTGTATACATAGGCTACTCCTGCTGTAATGGGTCTTCCTTTTTGCAAATGGTTTAATAAGAATACAAGAAAAAAAAGTCTCACTTCTTTTCCTCATGTTCCAGTTATTTCTTTTCCTTCAATCCTTCAAATTATTTTATTTTTCTCTCGATTCACATCAAGATTTCCGCACAGGTTTTACAATTATCCAATTTGACTCCTTTTCTGGGCAAGTAATACACGTGGGTTCTATAAGCCATTTAATATTGACCAAAAGAAAGAAACAAAAGAGAAAAGGCGACTGGGGTTGCATTAGAGAACAGAAACATATAAAAATTGTCCAGCAAGAAAAATGGACCCTGTAAATTCTTTTTAAGGAAATATGGAGGATTTGGACTTTCACGCATGAATAGAAACAACAACATTGGACGAATATTGCAAATCACCCATTACCTCACAAATTCGGCACAGGGGGCATGTCCATGAACTCCAATGAAATAGATCTATAAAGAAGTCCAATTAATTTTATTATGCAAAATCTGTAGCCTCGGGAGTAAGAAAAAAAAAGAGAAGAGTGACACACCTCTGTGTTGAGACCAAACCTTTACGCAGTTCCTGTGGTACTTCTTGCCACAAGTTTTGCATGGAAGCATTTTTCTTGCTCTCTCACTTCCTTCATTTTCACCACAAAAGCATATCCGGCACATAACATTCACATTGGACTGAGCTTGCTCTTCACCCACAACGCCTCTTGAGGTGTCCTGTTAAAAGGAAAAATAACTGATATTTTCAAAAACAACAAATATAGAAAGAACATAAATATATAGCGGGAAAAATAACAATGAGTTCAACACCCCAAAAAAGTCAAAGTATTACAACTGCAAAAATATGTATTTGACATTCAGCAAAACTTGAAAGTCATAATGGCACGTGTCCCAAAAAAACCAAACACAAAAAATGGTGCAGGTAATGGGAGCCATGGGCTGCTCAAAATACTATGATGGAATATTCAATTCCGGTCCCTACTAGGTCCGCTGAATATGAAGTCTTTTTTGGTGACATGATAGTAAAGGTTATGCCATGAGAAGATAAACTCTCTGCGTTATCATAAGAAGCTACTTCGCAGCATTTCTTTCCATCCGATCCTAAAACATCCGCCCTTTTGAAGGGCTTTTTCTTTATCTCTCTTAATTTCTCATCTGTCAGTCCTACTGTTAATGCCCTCTGTAAGATCTTCTGAATCCACCTATTTTCTTCTATACCCTAGAGGAGGTGAGCATTACAGAAATTTTAAACGCGATGAAAATTTTGTACTGAAGGAATACCAATTTCTGGTTTAGAATCAGATATGAGACCTAATAAAAATGAAAAATAGAAAATAAGAAAGGATGTTTAGGTGCTGGCCATGCAGTTCTTACTTTGTCCGCTCCTCTTACACGGGTCTGCATAAGACAAGTTAACAAAGCTTTTCAGGTTGGACCCGCTTACCCAATTCCCTCGTAGAATAAGAACCAGCGTTACCAAACGTGGATATACTGCTTATTCAAGACAATCCCAGCTAAGTCCAGGTATAAAGGTGTACCAAACAAGCCCTAAGTGCGGTCTGTAACGCCTCAAGAATCCACCTATTTTCTTCTAACAGATTTTGTGTTTTCAAACAAAATATATCCGTATCTTCGCATCAATGACGTTCAAACTTAGCAAATATAGAAATATACAAATGCAGTAATCAATGGAAACTACAATTTAGGGAAACTCCCAATTATTAAATAATCAATTCCTCTTATTCCGGGGCATGGCAAAGCGGAAACTTTAACTCAAGAGCAACCTCAAAATGTCAGTGTGAAGCAGTATTAGCCAAAAACTCGTCAGCATTAAGCAATTGCAATTCATTTTACAACTAAATACTCTAAATTCACGTAATACGTATTCGATACAAACATTCATACAATAATAACCCCAAAAACTAGCTCCTACACTTACACTTGAAACAATTCAACAATAAAAAGCAGTGAATTTCAAGAACCTCACCGACAAATAACCAGACTCGAATCGCCGAGCAAAGTCCTCAGCCGCCACCATATCCGCAGCAGCCTTGCGCTGAAGCGCGGCACGTTTGGCCTGGGAGGAGGCCGCGGCGGCGGACTCATCGTCAACAACGGCAGCGGCGTAACCATCTCCGACGGCAGAAGACATAACCGGCTGGGGAAGCGGCGGAGGCGGCGGGGCGACCTTTGGAACGGCGACCTGGACCGTTTTGCCATCGTCGCGAGCCCTAATTCCGGAGGGATCGATGAGAAAGTCGTGAACTCGAAGCACGTCTTCGAGGAACGAGGCCTTGGCATTCCCGGTGGCGAGGGTTCGCGGAATCCCTAACGCACAGTCGCAGATTCGCCGGCTGAGATAAACAACGACGAGTTTTAGTGAGAGAAAGAGACGAGAGGTAAAAAAGATAGAGAGAGCGAGAGTGTTTGGTACCATGTAATTGGGCAGGCGACATGAAATGCCATATTGCACTGAGAGGAAAGATTTAGTCTTTAGATTTGAAAAAATTATGGGTTGAGGGATCGCCCTCCTTCCCTCCCTCCCTCTCCCTCCCAACCCAAAATTTTTACTTTAGAATATTAAAATTAAATTTGTTTTATAAAAATTGAATTAAAATTTTGAATTAGAAATTTTAGATGGAGGTGGCTGCGTATGTGGATAATGGTACGATGACGAAGATTGTCGACGGTCGACCGAGCGAGCTAGAGATGACAGAGATAGAGAGTAGGGGGGGAGAGAGAGAGGATTTGGGTTTTATATGGTAATTGGGGCCGAGAGTCTCGTACGTGTCGAATTGCTTTTGGCTTTCAAACTGAGAATTTGGGAGATCTCTTGAACGGAATTGTCCATTACATTATGCAATTAGAAATTATTTTAAAATTTAAAATTTAAAATTAAATATAAATAATACTTAATAAAAACTAACCGTACGATGTACAATGAACGTTTCCAATCACAAGATCTTCGAATTTCTCAGAAAAAGAATCTGGCAAGGATCCTTTTTCCGTCAAACCCAACAACTGCAGATCCCACTCTTTTGCTGACATGGCAGTTAATCATGTGCCACATACGAAAAAATATTTTAAAATATCATTTTTTTAAAAGATAATGTTTATAAGTCTAAAAAACATGATCTTTCGGACAATGTTTGCTCCTACAATTTGTGTGAAGGGGATCTACAAATATTTCCTTGTGGATACAATAAAACCCGAATATAATATGTTGTTGGACAATGTTATGCACTACCAAAGTTGAACTAAACATAAGAAGAGATAGACTGGTTGTAACCTTGCACAGTGCACTATTTTGCGCCTTCATCCGTTCCAGAATATTTTGTTTTGAAAAACTTCCAACAATATTGTGCAAAGGTATTGGTGGATTGTCTTCATTCGAACTAGGCTCACAACAAGATTTGGAGAATATTTCCTACCTTAGAGGAGATTAGAATGTTTCTTTGAATAAAATGTTTCAATTGATCAAAAAATAAAACATAATGCTAGACTAGTTTCCATACAAAAATCATAGAGAAGGATTCGATTTTGGAACTTCTTCCACATTGTATTTAGGTAGCACACTGTTTAAATTGTATTGAGGCCAAAAGTTGGTTCAACGAGATAGAGATCGTAGAACAGTAATCTCACACAAGAAACCATGGATTTACGTTACATCGGTCACCCACCTCGAGTTGAGCTTCCCATTTAAGCCCTGGTTTGGTACTGAGGTGATTCTGAAAAAAAATTGGTATCAAAAAAAGCTGGGAGCTTTTTTGTGTTTGGTAAACATTCAAATTCAACTTTTTTCACTGTTTTGGGTGGAAAAAAGCCAAAAACAAGAAGCTACAAAACCGGTCTTGAAAAACCGGTTTTTTTTTCATATTTGTTTTACATAAAAGTTTACCAAACACTATAATATTGCATTTTTTTTTTCAAAAGCACTTTTACAAAAAAGTTTACGAAATACTTTGCTGCTTATTCTCACAACATAGCAGAAGCAACTTTTATTCAAAGCACAACAATACCAAATCAGCCCTAGTCCAAAGGTCTTTGTTGCGGGTCTTCAATATTTTACAGTGAGAGGATTTCATGAAACTGATCATATGTTCCCTAGGAATCGGTATAACATGACTTATGGGCACCTTTACGGGGACAAAGATTCGTGCACTGTCCTGGTTAACCGGCATTGCCCAAGCGCGGTGTTGGAAATTGTAGAAAATAAGAAACTTTACTGTAGCGGTCTTCAGACACAAATGCGTTTGTTGATTTACAGTTTACACTACCTCAGTAATTTCTAACCTCATTTTTCCTGCCTTGACTTTTCTTTTTTTTCACATGGCTCCTCCTAAGTTTCTATACAAACTACGATTTTTCACAAACCATCTGTGGTAAATCCTTGCTACAATTTGTATCTAAAATTCTAAGCTATCTTTTGCTATGTTTGACACATTTACATGATCGAAAAATCATCTTCAAGCCCATCCAGTTGTCCTTTTAGAGTGTTTTCTTGGATGATCAAGACTGAGGTTCTGACTGAGAAATCAGAGCCCGAAAGGACATCCCCGATTGGCCCCAACTCCGGACATTGCTGCCAGTCATTCATCCCAAATGTCAGAATCGAATTCACCCTTTCCCCTCGTCCCACTATAATGAGCGCGTACTGCCCATCCAGTTCCCTCAAGGTAGAATAGGTCTCAGCAGAATTGGCCATATGCTTCTCAACGTAAGCAACTTGTCCACATGCGATACGTCTCTCGTAGAAGCTTGCGAAACACTCATCGTCAAGCTTCATTTCCTCTTCTTGCTCAGAACGGCTGACAGTGTAATTTCCAGGTCTGACTGTGGCCTCTGAGCTAGCATCTACCAAGAATCTTATGACTGTGAGCTTTACACCCGCATGTCGTGCTACGCGACCAGCATAGGCAAGTGCTTCTCTATCGTCTTTGCCACCAATGAAGATGACTGCCACGCTAACAGAATGATCTTGTGTTCTTGGTAGTTTTTCAATCAGTCCAAGACCTCTGTCTACAAGAATCCCAACGGAGCACGGAGCATTCTTGAGGATCTGTTAATACCAAAGTATATCATTAATGATAAATAAGAAGTATGCTAAAACAGATAAATCTATAGAAATGTGGAAGAACTTGGAAAATTGAACAGATATTAACTCCTTTACTTTGTGTTTAGCATGTTACTAATTAAATTGTCTAATTCTTTGAGATAGAAACCAAAAGCCCTAATATAACCTAGAGCCTACAGGCTTTATCAGTGAATGTGTCAAGCATATGCTTCCAAATATGATCACGGTGCTGGAATTCGTTAACCTTTTCTTGTAGAATTTGTAGGTATTTGAAAAATATTCAGTTTTCTGATATACATTACCTTACGGTTCACATATCTGAAAGCAGAATTTCCGTTATCCAAGGTTCCATCTGCGCGTTGAACCTTGTGGAATGGCAAGATGATGAGGCCTACCATTGAGTCCTCTGCCAAAATGCAAATATCCTGGGGCATGCCACTGAAAGTCGAAAGTGCAAGCAATCGTCTGAGTGTGATACCATCTCCACTCTCCGCTACATATGCTTGAACTGCAGAAGTGACTTGATCTCTCATGTCTTTCACTCTTGTGTGAGTCACAGTCATGGTGTCCGCCCCTTCTTCTTTTACCAGTGTGGCTGCAATTTCGTCAGTGAGTTCTATCATGTCTGTTACATATACCACAATTCCAGGGTCAGCTGTCCCTCTAGATATCTCAATGAAGTTTATCATAGTTTGAACATTTTGAGGCCCATGAAGGCATAGTAATATGCGGAGTTCGCTTGAAGGGTCAAGCAACTGAAGTGACATTCGATGAGTAGGTGCCCGTTTCCTTGCACGCTTGATGATTTGTGCCACAACTGATGGGGCGTGCACAACCGTGAAAAATATAGCTATTACCATCACAGTGCCGGTTGAAGTAGATGTTTTCCCAGCCTGCATGCAATATCAGAAGAGCAAAACGCAACAAGATCAGCGTGGTTCACATAATATGACCAATGGTGACGAATCACTCGTAAGTTCTCTGATTCCGTAAGGAGGAAAAATAGCATGTGCTTAATTAAACAGTATCATTAATAACTTTAGGAGTAAAAATGCCTCAGAGAAAATTGAGAGGGAAGAAGAAAGCAGGTGAGAAAAATAAATAGAGACGTGAGACTAACTTGTTTTGCAGCAATGGCCAAGTATATGTGAAAATGGCCTTTGGTGGTGAGAAGAAGCCCGAGTGCAATAGATTCCGGCCAGTGAAACCCCAACAGCTTTCCGCAGAGGACAGTTCCAGCAACTTTTCCTACTGTTGCTATACCAAAAAGTACAAATAACCTTGCCCATGTCCCAAACTGGCCGGGTTGAAATTCCTTGAACGCAGCTTCATAACCCATCCAGAAGAAAAAAATGGGATAGTAAATGGTAGATAACAAGTAATTGATCTTGCCGATCACCCATTTCGATACTCTCCCCCCCTTCGGTAAAAAGGTTCCTGCCATAAATGCACTCAAGGCCGGATTGTATCCATAAATTGGTGAGCAGGAAATGATCAAGGCCATGAAAGCAAGAGCAAGCACTAGATGTGAACCTTTGATGGGTTTGCCTTCGGGGTTTTCGTTGTTAACCCAGTTCATGAAGATTGGTGAAACATAGCCTGCAAAAAGTGTCTGGATCACCAATGCAGAACCCATCTCAATGGATCTTCGGACGCGTTTTGAAGTCTCTACAACTTTCCCTCCAGAATCAACAGGCCAAAAGACATAGCCAATTGAGAGGAGAAGAGTGGATACAAAATCAGCGTGCATTCCTGCAGAAATGACAAGCTGGCCTATGTCCGACTTGCCTATTTTGAGACTCGTTATGAGACGTGTCAGTACAGGAGAGGCGGTGCTAGAGAGAACGGTGGAGAGGGAGAGAGTGAAGTCAACCTTGAAACCGCCATCTGTAAACTGCAGAAATGGTGTTATAGCGCAGGCTAGGATGAATGTGGAGAGCATACCACCATAGGCCACTTTAGCATCCTTGGTTGGTTCTTTAAAGAGTACATATGGATCCATTTCTATGCCTAACACAAACATATAGCAGATCATGCCAAAATCAACTATAAAATTCAACGTTTTCCTGGCTGAATCCGTTACTAGGTTGCGTATGAACCCTAAGTTTCCGATCAGCAGTCCTATCTGCATACCATAAGAGAGAGCAAGAATTTAATCACAATAATAGTGGCAAGTGAGTAGAACCAAAGAGAAACACCACGCAAGGTAGCGAAAGATGGTACTTTCGTGTTTTAACGAAAGGTGCAGTTTCTTTTCTGCATTCAGATTAACTCTACATTAAACTGCTACTCTTCAATGCAGCATTTAGATTACAAACAAATAAAGAACGTGAGAGCCGCCACAAGGCATACACGATTACGCAATAAGCCTCACTAGAATAAGGCAGCAAGTTTTTATTTGATCAAATATTACAACAAAATGCTTGATCCCATCTGCTATTCACACTCGTATGCACTCACAATGGCCCTTTGAAAATGCTTCTGCTCATAAGCGGCTTTGCTAGAAGCGCTTTTATTAGAAGCACATGAAATTTTAAAATACTCATATAAGGATTACATAATGACAAACAGGGAGTGCGAATAACATTTCCCGTTATGAAAAAAAAATTGATTGCCAACTTTTGGAATGAAAAATGAAGAGGAAAACCAAAACAAAATTATGAGAACAAAACAAAAAACAAAGATGAATACATGGAGAGAGAGAGGGAGAGAGAGAGAGAGGGAGAGAGAGAGAGAGAGAGAGAGACTTACAACGGTGTCGGAGGTAATGCGAGGCTGAGAATATGGCTTTAACAAGAAGTGGGAAACATTGCAGAGAGCATACATTAAGAAGAAACCCAGTGCATATTTTGCTAATTTTCCAAAAAGCTCTTTTAACTTGAGAGTGCATGGTCCAACAATTGAAATTTTTTGAGAAGTACGTAACTTTTCCTTGCTGCCCATTTTTTTCTTCTCTTGCTTTTCCTCTCAAGCTTTTGTGTTTTTGTTTGCAATTGCAAGAGAATTTTTTGTTTTGTTTTGTTGGGCTGGAAGTTTGCAAACGAGCACCAATGGCAAGGTTAATTCTCTCTCCAGCTTGGCCAGGATGAATTAGTGGTTCTGATTAATTGCTTGTTGCTTTGTTTGAGGAGAAATTGAAGGGGAACGGCTAGGAGAGAGAGCCATTTACAATGGTAGGCAGGCATTCTTTCATAAAACAAAAATTTGAAAGAAAAAAAAAACAACAGTAGAAATTCTACAACTTTGCAATAAAAAATACAAGGAATATTTTTGCTCACTACTTTGTTTATATCGTTAGATGAGTTTTTATTTAGAAATCTACGTAGATAGACAAAAATCTCAAAATTTAAACTAATCCAACGTTTATAAATATGATGGTGACTGGTGACGATTACCATCCCTTAAGGGTGATGAGCAAAATGCGCGCAAAATACAACCATATGGGAATTGGTTCGTAATACTAATAATTAATTGCAATAAAATTCACATTAATTTTTTTATTTATTAATTTCTTATGAATGAATCAAAAGTATTAGATGCAATGCAACTAGATCCAAGGCTAGAAAACATTGCAAATATTTGTACCAGGATCTTGACCTAATTGATTAAAAAATAAGAAGAGTGCTAACTGCTATATTTACCCACCTATCTTACTTTTTCATCCACCTCTTAACTAAAATACATAGGCTGTTAGGCACACTATCAACCCATGAAACTACACATGCAATGTACCATAATGTTAGAGTCTTTGGGATATTTCAGGCAAAACCTCTTCAGAAGTGGTATATAAATATAATATGGGAAATTTTATTTAAACCTTTGTAACCTATTTCTACACCCAACTTACTTATTGCATCCATTTGATTTTTAACTAAACTATTAATATCTCTTTAAACCCAAATTTATTACCTATTATACCCCCATAAACCCAATTCAATATGTAGATTTTTCTTTTCACCCATTTGATTTTTAACTATCTTTACTCTGTCTGGAAACGGACACTGAAAATTAGGGTGTGAATTCAGCCATGACTGACAACAAGACTGACACTTTTATACACTTTTATACTGAAAATTGGGGTGTGAATTCAGCCATTACAGGCAGCTACAGAAAAAAGAAAAACAGCGCAAAAGATGGAAAGGACGAAAGAGAAGGTGGTGGCGGTGGTAGAGACGGATCGCTGCACGTAAATTGGGAAGAAGCATTGAATTGGAGCAGGAGCTATGCAGGTGCAGGGACTCCTGCTTCGAATCGATTTCAACATGGCTTCTAATATTAATTGAAACACTTTCTTTTTTTTTTTTTTTTTTTTTTTCTTTTTTGTTGAGCGAGTGATAATCTAAAGCATTATTCTTAGGGTCTCTGCCTTGACACGCCACCCAGAACGGACAGATAGAAAGAGAGAGATTTAACAAGAAGACAAATGGAGTCATGAGAAAGAGGAAGGAGATGAGTGAGCTTTTTTTGGTATTTTTCTACAGGGGGGACTGGGACAGCTTTTGAGCTCATCGATACCCTCAACAACTTTGGCTCCGAGATGAAATTAAAATGTTGTTGTAACTTGTGGGAGAATTTCAACATAGAAATCTGAGTGTGTAATCCACACCAGAAGTCTGAAAAGGGTAACTAGAAAATGGGATTGTGGGACAAGAAGTTAGATTTGAACTGAAAGTTCCAACCCCTTTTTAACGTTTCGTGTTTGTTTTCCATCTTGTTTCTGGCTGCAACTTCCCTCACCAGAATCAATTACATTTCTTGTCTGTTCAACCGTACCCTTCCAAACTCCAAAGCATAATCCAGATCACTGATCCCCGATTCCCGCCATTAACATATATCAAATGGAACTATATATATATATATATATACACGCATGTGTGATCAATTGGTTGCATGTATTCGAAGAAACATTAATCATGTTTATTGATATTTCCCCAATCTTGTAAATCATTAATTGTTTTTCTTAAGAGAAAGTGCTGCCATCTACATTTTTTTGTTAATATGTCATCTACACAATAAATGTTTGGGTTTATTAATAAATATGAGTTTTATTGTTAATTTCATTTTGTACTTAATAATAATTATACAATAAGGTAAAATAAAAAACTAACATTTAAAATTTAAGTTAGGTGTAGAAAAAGATTAAATGGGTTTAAATAAAATTTCTCATATAATATCGCCATATGATCGACTCTCTACGTCGTTTATGGCCGTGGAGGAGCACATCTCGTCCTTACAGACTCCATAATCTCTTGTTAGGCAGGCATTGGTGGAAAAATAATTTCCATTAGGAGCCCAGATCTTGGCATTTGTTGTCTGATCCACAGCATGAAATAATAGCTCCTTTGTACTACCAAATATACACACACACACACACACAGCAAACTTAACCTCCCATCCAAACTCATGTTTTTTTGTAAATCTCCATAAGACGGGCAAAAAGAGGGGAGAGAGGTCAGGGTTAGGGTTAGGGTTTTCCGCAACAGAGTGTTGATTGGAGGGAGAACTGACAAAACACAGTCCAATGAGTTTTTCTAAATATAAAAACTAGAAAAATTTTAAAATTCAATCAGCGCATGCATGAGTGACCGATTTCCAAGACGCTAGTATTTCAATATATGCCTAATTGGATAAAATGTCCTGTAATCGATAAATAGCCCATGTGGCAAAATATTAGGATTTAAGGCCTTGTGACGTAGTCCTTTAATAAATTTAGTTTAAAAATTATTTTTCCGTTAAATACAAGGTTAAAAAAGTACTTTAATGTGCAACATGAGAGTTGAAATCCTATTTTTTTTTACCATGGGGCTATCTTCCGATTCCCTTACCCCGTGCACATTAAAGTACATTTTTACCCTTGTATTTAACAGAAAAATAATTTTTGAACTAAATTTACTTACGGACTACACCACGAAGGTTTAAATCTTAATTTTTTTTACCACTAGACTATCTTTCAATTATCTTATCATCACAAAGATCATTTATGTGATTAGGCCTTCAATATATCATGATGTTTCAAAATTCTTCTTTCTTGTAATATCCTTAAGGAAGGCTTTTTGTCTAGTCAGCGTAGGAAAGCAAGTAGGAGTCGCAATCCGTATGAGTAGGGTTCACCAACGCATATGGGTTCAATCTCTATTAAGAAGTAGGTACAAATAGATTGTAAGAATAATATTTTGAATCCCCACAGACAACGGTGGCATCACGGCTCCAAGCCAAACCTCTTTCTCCTTTCTACCATAAAAGAATGTATACATTATTTCTCCTTTCTTCCAATACCGTCCATCCCACCCTCAAATACAATCCTCCCGACCCTCCTTTTTTGAGTACATGCATATTTTTCTACTAAATGGAGGAAGAGTTCGGCTAAGTCACACAGTGGCAGTCTACTTTGGTATCGAATTCGGCATCCACGAGATTCGAATCTAAGACCTCTCGCTTCCAAGTGAAAAGGAATATCACCCAACCGTAATACTGAGTGGCCCCGACCCTCCTTTTAGAGCAACCATAATTTCATTACTTCAAAACGTCAATAAAATACATAATTTAGAGCCATATAGAAGAAGAAGTTGGCTCACAAAAAACCTCATACGGCAAAACAAATACAAAGACGGTCCCGATTTCTCTCAATAGGATAGAAAATTATTTATTTAGCTTGAACGCGTGAAGAATTGAAAATAATCTAACAATTATAGCCCGACATTTGTATACTTTACTTCCTAAACATGTTGGTATAAAAATTAAGTAATTAATCCCACGTTAAAATTTCCACAGTAATGCTAAAGAGACTTTTCCAAAAGTGAGATTTTTTATGAACTTGTTGTCACCTCATATTTTTTGCATTATGTTTTATAATGTTGAGACATAAATTGACGTTACATTATAAGGTGCTAAAAAGTTCATGGAGAGTCCCCTTAGCATTCTCAAAATTTCATTAGTCGTTTTTTTGGTCTCACTAACTGTCATTGTACTGGACCGCACTACTTATTAATGTAATCATGTGTTTGTTAAGTGCATAAACTAAGTTAAATGGACCAAAGAGGACAAGTATGTTGCATGGGCTAACTCCCTCGCTAGCAAGACCAGTTGAGAACCATGAGACACGTGGACTAGCTCCCTCACGTCTCTCTCTGCTCTATGTTTTCACAAACGCCGAGAGCCACCCTCGTTCCCCCTCGCCAATTCCCCCTCCCCCTCCTCTCTTTCTCCTCCCTTTTTTCTCGTTTTGCTCCGCCGAGATCCGGTTCTCCTCAACCCGATCCGATTGGCGCCCAATAACCCCTTTGACGAGTTTGTTCACCCACAAGGCCTGCCTACAGCTCAACGTCTCGAAAATCATCCTCTCGGATCTTCCCAACCCGGATCCGAACCTCTCCAAAGTCGGGTTCCTCCTTCTCTTTGCCAACTGCCTCCAGCCACTCAAGACCTACATGAACGTCAAATCCATTATAATCTTTTCTTTAAAAATAACCAGAGGTATATAATTCAAAATTACAACATTTCTCAATATTATTACTATTAGGTGAAATAACACAACACTAGAAGCTTCCATCATAATTCTTTCTTTTTGGCCTCCCTCTTTAAAATGATATTTTTCTTTAAAGTAATTCAAATTAGTGAGAAATTCAAACTCAATACAATAATTACGTACACGTAAAAAAATAAAAAACCATAGAAAGAGAGTGTGCCAGAAATAGCAGTAGCAGTAATAACTATTTCGTATATAAAACGGCCAAAACTTATGGGAAATTTGGAAATATAACTAAAATTTGGACCTTATGAAGAATTATAACCAGAACTTAAATTTTATGATAATTATAACCAAAAATTGATTAAAAGTACTAATATATCCTTAATGTTAGGGTTTCTCACAACAACCAAAATCCAACTTATAAGATTGCAGATTTGAATATAGTTGGAGATTTAAACTATATTCAGATGTCTACGATCTTTAACTATACCTTTAGATATCTACAACCTTTAAACCATAATGAAAGCATGAATTAAAACAGAGTAAAACATAAATTAAGACCAAATAAATATACCACGGAAAATCCTCCAGGGGCCAGTGTGAAGTAAAACATTTTTTTCGAGCATAACTCTCAATGTGATGGGGAGGGAATC